CCAAGAACGAGATCTCGAATCTGATCAAAGGTGAATCCATCAGGCCCCACTGAACCGGTAACCGCTGTAACCGTTCCGGACCAACTATCAGGTAAAGACGATAGCAGTAGTAAAGCTTGAACTTCATCATCGAACTTAATGCCCACTGACGCAAGTCTGGCTAAGATCGAATTCAACTTGTTGATATGCTCGGTAACTAAAGTGCCTTCTCTCATCCTTGTGTTCACCAGCTCTCTAATCAGAAAAACTTTATTCGCTGCATATGGCTTCTCGTACATGTTAGACAACGCGTCCATAATTCCCTTCACTGTCTTCTCCTTCAGAATATTGAACGCAACATTCTTGGTCAACGAGAGACGGATCACGGACATAGCTTTCCGATCCAAACTTGCCCAATCTGCATCCGACATTTTTTCTGGCTTGTCACCTAAAACCACGTCCAAGTCTTTCTGAACCAGCAAATCTTCAATTTGCATCTTCCACCAACTGAAATCTATACCATCAAACTTCTCAATTCGGAACTTCCCGTCTTCTGCCATCTCAAACGACTGGACGAGATACCCGGTACAAAAATTTCAGATCTTGGTAATTTCGTCAGAAAAATCAGGCCCACCACACCAATTCCAAATCAAACAGGCCCAAATTAAAAACACACGCCCAAGGGGAAAAATACAAGTGGGATGGACAAAGGATGACGGCCCAACCCTTTTTTCCTTTTTTTTCCTTTTCTTGGATGTTCAATCACTTCCTTCGGCCCACCTTTTTTTTCTCCTGTCCTGGTGTTGTGCGCGACGGCCGCAGGTGCAAAATGGATCTCCAGCGAACTACTTCGACGACGGCGGCGGCTTGGCCAATGAAACGGCGCGGCGGTGGTGACTCTCGCTGGAGACGGCGACGGATCTGCCTACTGCGCGAAGACTGCTATGGCGGCAGCTCCTCAACTCAGCAGCGGCTGCGGCTCCCCAACGCGGCTTGACTGCATGCAGACGGTGGTAATTCTCCTCGAACTAGCGGCGTAGATCTGAGGATAGCAGCGGCTCCTCAACCCGGCGGCAGTCTTGCTCGACAGAGTCACTTCTCCTTCAGCGACGGCGACGGCCAGTTGTGTGACGACTCCTCTGCGGGGGGCGCCTGGACAGATCAGCGGCTGCTCCTGCGCGGCTGACGGCGGCAGCGGCTGCTCCTGCGCGGCTGACGGCGGCAGCGGCTCCTTCTTAGATCTGTCGCACAGATCCGAAAACCCTAGGTGACAAATTTGCAATTCGTGCTCGTGTTGAACTTGGCTCTGATACCACTGTTGGGAATTAAACACACAACACACACAAATATCTGCGAGAATCAAGAGAGAAACAGAACACAAACGACACACAAGAATTTAACGTGGTTCGGTTTCCCTAATCCACGGCTGCAACAGGAGGAATTTCTTATTTCACTTGTGGTACCGATTACAAGTACAAAAATGCAATATATATAGGAAGAGTGCATTTAGGGTTTCGTAAAATGGGCCGGGCCAAAAGTCAAGTCCAAGCATCCACAAACCCAACACGTAGAACATAGGTGTGATGCAGTATGGGCAAACGAAGAATATGCTAAAGTGATCTTAAAGTCTCATAGGACTTGTTCAAGTTTATATACGAATACTCTTGTTGCTAATAGACCACCTCCTGTAATAGAGATTTTACAAGATTATAGATTTTATAGGGTGGAGAAAGTTGATGGATTACAGTTGGATTGGGCTTTGATTACTTCTTTAGTGGAGAGATGGGGACCCGAGACCCATTCATTCCATCTTCCCTTTGGAGATGTGAGAATTACTTTGCAAGATGTTGAGGTTTTGCTTGGATTGCCCGTAGATGGCATTCCATTGGCGCGGATCACTGGTCGATCAAAAGATCAGTGGATTAAGATATGTGACGACATGATGGGATTTAGACCTGAAGCATCTGATATCACCTCTTCTATGATTATGATGTCTGCAATTATTCCTAAGGCATTAACAGATCATAGTGTAGATGTTGATTACCTACAACATGCTAGAGTTATTTTGTTCAAGTTGTTGAATTGGGTGGTAGCTTGTTGGGTGGTAGCTTATTTCCCAACATGACGGGAAATAAGGTTAATTTAGATCTGTTGGAGGTAATCATGGTTGACGCAAACCTAGTGCGGGGTCGTGCCATTGGTTCTGCAAACCGCACATGACAGGCTACGTCCCCATTTCTCCCGAGCTACAGACCGCAGTAAGTATTAATTATATTCAATTTTTTGTCATAAATTTGTATGGGACTAAATTTGTATGGCGGATTGCTATCAGCGCCTTGATCCAGGTAGGCACCCGGATGGTTTTGTACCTTTATTAATAACTTCAAGTGTTTTAGGCTTATTAAAAACTTATGAAAATGGTTTTAATGATGCATGAAAAGTATTTGAATTCATTTAGCCTAGAGAGCCAATTTTGTAAAGTTAATGCTGGTCTTGATCACATAAAGACCGACTCAACTATATTCTAAGTCTTCATTCTTCGTTCTTGGTTCTCGTTTTCACTTGATAAATATGCCATGTTTCTTCGCCTTTAGTTTGTTCAACATCTTCTTATTTTCACGGCGGGTTGGCATTATCAAAACCTGTCATAAAACGAACACGGCTTTAGTACGACATAGTCGTTAACCTGTGTTCTAACACCATGTATGCATAATATCTGATAGACACGGTGGTATTGACCACGCATTTGAAAATATTCCAAAGTTGGGTGGAGGTCAAGTGACTCGAAAATATTGTCTCTGCCACCTACGAAGCAATTTCTAGAACAAGTTCCGAAGTAAGAAGCTGCGGACCTTGATGTACAAAGCTGGTGAGACCCCGAGCAGAATCAAGTTTGACCAGTTGCTTCTCCAAATTGCGTCCAAAAAGCAAGAAGCTTACAACTGACTTAATGATATTCCAAAACACATGTGGGCATTGTCACATGATGAAGGTGGCGCACGGTATGGTATAATGACCACAAATTCGTCAGAAAGCTTCAATAATGTCCTTAAGGGATGTCATTGTTTACCCGTATATGCCCTTATGAAGTTCACCTATGATAAATTGGCCAAACTTTTTGCTGAGAGGCGAACAAATGGATATGTATGGCAACAATCCGGGTACAATTTTCCTATAAATGTGTGGAAAATAGGCTTTACTGTCGTGTTGTGCAGCACCACGCACAACAAGGGATATACTCTGTGGTGGTGGTGGATGGGTCATCCAACATTGCTCAGCGGGAGACATTTACGGTGAACTTAAATGCACGAACATGTAGCTGTGGTCAATGGGTAACATTTCACATCCCGTGCAGTCATGTCCACGCAGTATGTCATTATTGTAGTGTCAGTGTGGATCATTTGATTCTGAATGTTTTTTTCAATTCAGACCTACATCAACGCTTACTCTGGCATCATAATGCCGCTTCTAGATGAGGCTGAATGGCTTACTCCAAAGTACGAGATAATGAGACCAACGTCGTGATAGAGGACACGAACCGGCCGACCTACGAGAACCCTCTATCCGAATAACATGGACTATCGACCACGGAGACGTCGCAACGAGGATTAGTTATGTCATGGATTTCACTTATGTCTGAGTTTATGTATTATTAAATTCACAAAATAAGTTAGTCATGGATTGTGTTTTGTAATCTTATTTTTATGAATAAATTATATGTACTTTATCAATAAACTTCTTGTATTTTTCTTTTTTTTAATTTCATTGTTGATGGGTATAACCCATTGATACCACCCGACATGTCCGTAACCGCCCGGGAGGTACCTAAGTCTAACCCCTCAAGACTTGGTCAACCCGTGTAGTCTAACCGGGCGGATATAAAAGGGTTCAGAAGTGAGAACGTGACTTCGGCGTTGAAGGCACATAGACTTACCCGTTGAAGACTGACCGGCGAAATGACAGTAATGTTGAGACGTGCTTGTTTATTCTTATAAATAGGAGTAAAAGCCTCATTAGAAAGGCATGTTTTAATTAATCCACACGGCTTGTAAGCGGTACTAATATAATTAATAACAAACCGGGTTACAGGTGTTCCCACTTATAGCCCTTTCGCTTATTTAGACTTAATATTTGCGTGGTTTTACACCACTAGTTGTATAAAGTTCACTTAAAGTCAATAAACAGTAGTTTTATTTTTAAATTTTTTTATAGTATATTTGTTTGCATCTATATTTTCTTTATGTAAGTTTCCTTTATTTTGTCTCATTGTATGTAACTAAATTATTTTTTTATAATTTATTTATAAGTAACAAAAATTAATCGATTTTATTGAGAAACTAAAAATTTATAAAAATTTATAAAAAAAGTTGGAAAGGTTTAAAGCAAAAAAAATTGGAACAAAAAAGGGAAGGTGGAACCATTTAATGATTAAGAAAATTATAAAAAAAATAAATTAGGGACCGGAGTATCTTAAACGTTTGGTAATTAAAGAAGAGAGACGGATTCAGCTACTCCATTTGAATAAATAATAACGCCAGAAACGGAATGGCCTACTCCGGTTAGTTTTATTTGAGAAACAGCAAAGTAAAAGAGCATATAAAGAAATGCTTTGCACCATTTTTACACCGACAGATAATTCTCCCCCAAACCATCCCAAAGCATACCCAATCAAAATCTGGAATCGAAATCGGTACAACAAAAGAGAACAAAAATATTTGGTTGACAAAAAAACAAAAAATTGCTGCCAGGTACCCCCTATTTTGTGGTAAGAATTGCCAAGTACCCTTAATTTTTAAAATATAGTATGACTACCCCAAATTATAAAAAAATATACCAAGAAGAGATTTTTCATCCATTCTCCATCCATCCCCTTTCCTCTGTTAAGTGCACCATCATCATCATCATCCATGAGCATTGTCATTCCACCACCACCATCCCCACTTATTCGTTCTTCCTCATCCTCTTCTTTTTTTCTTCTTTTTCTTCTTCTTCTTCTTTCTTCTTCTTCTTCTCCTTCTCCACTTCTTCGTTCTTCCTCCACCACTCACCCTTATTTCTTCTTCTCCTCCTTATATTATTATTATTATTATTATTATTATTATTATTATTATTATTATTATTATTATTATTATTACTATTACTATTATTATTATTATTACTATCATTATTATTGTTATCATTATTATTATTAGTATTAGTATTATTATTAATATTATTACCATTACCATTATTATTATTGTTATTCTTATTATTATTATTTTTATTATTTATTTGTTTTAATCCATTAATCTTTCACAATCTCCATTAATGTAAAAAAACAAAATTTATTGTTTGGTACCCCTAATTTTGTGCTTAATTAATTTTTAATAATAATAATAATGAATAATAATAATAGAAGAAGAAGAAAATATTCCTTCATGATAATAATAATAATAAATAGTAGAGGTAGAAGAAAATTATACTTTGTAATAAATAATAATAATCATTAGTTTTAATATTAAAAAATTATTAATATTAATTTTTAATATTAACAATAATAATTTAGAAAAATAATAATACGTCATTCTTTTAGGGAATAAAACGGTAGCATTTGGCGTTTTGGGATTTAGGAGGTGGGGGTGGGGAGCTAGAGGATAGAGAGAGAATAATTCTATATTGAGTATTTCTTTGCGAGTATAGTTCATTTTACATTAGCGATTAAAGTTCAATTTACCTCTTTACAATGATCATCTTGCCGGGTCTGAGGAGGCTCTCGGGGATGGGAGAATATTAGGAGTACCAAACAGTAATTTTTTGTTTTTTTACATTAATGGAGATTGTGAAAGATTAATGGAGTAAAACAACTAAATAATAATAATAATAATAATAACAATAACAATAATAAGAATAATGATGGTAATAATGATGATGATGATGATGATGATGGTGATGATGGTGATGATGATGATGATAATAATAATAACAATAATAATAATAATAATTATAATAATTATAATAATAATAATAGAAGGAGAAGAAGAAGAAATAAGGGTGAGTGGTGGAGGAAGAACGAAGAAGTGGAGAAGGAGAAGAAGAAAGAAGAAGAAGAAGAAGAAAAAGAAAAAGAAAAAAAAAGAAAAAAAAGAAGTGGAGGAGGAAGAACGAAGAAGTGGGAATGGTGGTGGTGGAATGATGATGATGATGATGGATGATGATGATGGTGGTGCACTTAACGGAGAAAGGAGGATATATTGAGAAAAGATGGAAAATTTCCGTTTAGTATATTTTTTTATAATTTGGAGTACCTAAGAGTATATTTTAAAAATTAGGAGTACAGTTCTTACCACGGGTACCTCGCAGCAATTTTTTGGACAAAAAAATACCACTCATCTTCTTCAGGCAGCAGCACGGGCACAGAGCGAAAAAACCAGCCTTCTACCTTCGATCGACCCGTCGGAAATCAGCCTCACCTTCTCGGCCAGTTGCCGGTTCTTCTCCCGCCAGCCGCCGCCAGGTATTTCACTTACTCTTGAGTCCTCACCAATGTCATGCTTTCAGTTTCAGCTTTCTATTGTAAGTTTTATCCGTTGGCTTTACATCCTTTACTCATACTACCTTAGAAATTTAATCATCTAAAACAGTTGCAAGTTAGATTTCTTCAATTGTAATTTCTCTAAGTAAAAGAAAATGCTTGAATTGAGATTTCAGCTCTGCATTTTGGGCTTCTTTTTCTATTAAAACTGCAAGATTTTAGTTCAAATCTATCCTTTACTATCACTTCAATTCCATCAGATTTTCAGCTTTTTCGTTGTGAAGTTTTGGGTATTTGAGTTTGTCTCAGTTTCGAGTCTTAAGATACTATATATTTGTTTGTTCAAATCTTGAATGTTTGGTGATTTATATTTTCAATTGACTGTAGAGCAGTTGCAATTAATCTGTTACTACAATAAAGATTTATGTACTTCATATCTTTCATACTCTTATTTTTTCTTTTTTCACTTGAATTGCTTGGAAGTTTAGGTCATATGTTTTCGCTGGAAGTTTTTTGGGCTAATTTCATTTTTTATTTTTCGTTGTAACTTTGTCATACACTTTTTTTTTGCTGCAACTGTTTTATGTTCTTCAATTGTTTGACTCAGGCATAACTCTAACAGTTTAACTTTGATTTTGCTGCAAATGTTTAGGTTCTGTTTGTAAAGTTCTATTAATGTTGTAGTGTGTCATAAAGTATTTTAATTGTAGTCAATGGAGGAAGATTTGCTCACTGCCATAAATAATTGTCAATTGCTATTTGGTTAATTCATATTCATTCTTCATTTAATTATTTTAAAGAAATATTTGCCCTAAATAGCACTAAAACTTAATTCATTTCTCTAAATAGCACTTAAATTCTTTTATTCCCTAAATAGCACTTAAATTCTTTTATTCCCTAAATAGCACTTAATAATGTCCATAATGTCCAGTAATGACTAATATTTACTTGAATAATGACTAATGCATAATGACTAAAAGTGCTACATTTGGAAGAAAAACACATGTGATGCTATTTAGGGAAAATCATTATGTTTTAGTGCTATTTAAGTAAATTCCTCTATTTTAAAATACTCCCTCCGTCCCAATTTGATTACAAATTGCGGGTTACGGAGTAAAATTTCATACTTTTTGAAATCATTTTATTTACAAATTGGTATATCAATAAGATATAAAAATTACATATTAATAAACTACGTCAAAAGTTCTACAAAACAAGAGGTGGCAAGAATATTTTATTTTATCAAATACTTAATGAAATCGCATAAACAAACAAAAGTTATCGAGAGGAGAGAGAAAAAAATTGTAATGTATTTAGGAACGGAGGGAGTATTAAATGTAGGATTATTCTTAGAGTATATTAAATGTTAATTATTTTAGAATATTCTTTTTCGTTTATTTTCCCTTTATTTTGCAGATATTTTTGTTCGTTATTTTGCAGACTTTTATTTTCCACTCGTTTTTACCTTTAGTTTTGGTTCTTTTTCTTAAAATTGTACCCAAGTTTTATCTGGTTTGAATGAGGTGATGGTAGAATTCATTTGTCTGTCAATCCACTAACTCTTTTGAATGATGTTTTAATATGAATCCCAAGTCCCAAGAGGTTTTGATCACTAAAAAAGGGAAGGTATACCAGGACAGCTTTTCTCAAAATATCAATATACCGGACAAGGGAATACCAATTAAAAGATAAAATACATATTTTAGGAACATAAACATAAATTTTAACCAGACGCACTGGTCAGCATTTTTAAAAGAAAAACCGACCTTGACTTTTTTTTTTGCAAAAACACGCTGACCTATTAATCGCCTCTAGACCAGGCAAAAAGTGACCCGACCTGTTTTTGACCTGAAACCCGATCTGAAAACACTGGGTTTTGAACAAAGGTTTTGATGATCGAACCCGAAGTTGATTGAACCCGAAATGACCCGCTAAAAATGGGTCAAACCCGACCGAACCCGAACCCGACCTGACCGACCCGCTAAAGTAAGAATTTTTCAAAATTATACACTTTTTTAGTCGTTTTTAGTGTATAAATTTATTTTTTCAGACAAAATTTTAATGATATTTCATAATTATCTTACTTTTTTCCAAAACTTAAGCATTTTAAAATTTCTTATATTGATTTATATATCTAAAAACAACTTTAGAGTTTAAAATAAAATAATTTTATACATTTAATACTTTTTTTGATATTTTAAATTTATTTAATATAAAATGTAAGTGTTAATGTGAATTTAAAAATTTAAAAAAATCAAAGTCATAACCAGTTAGGTCGATCCGAACCCAATGACACTACACAGTTCTCACACCTAACGCGAAATCATACGCTCGATTCTCATACGATCAAACTGACTGCCTGGCTGTGCCTCCTCAACTTCAACTGCATAGTCGCATCTCCTCAGCCGGATCAGCGAATCTCCCCTTCGCATAGGCTCCATCACCGGTAATATTTAGCGCTTCAGTCCAGGCTTCGCAGGTCACCCCCTCCTCTCTCTCCCAATTTCTCACCCAATTGCAATATATTTATGTGCCTTTTTATTTTTGTTTTCTGATTGTTTCTTTATTGTCTTCACTATGTGTATTATTATATTCTTAATTTCTTATAGATATATTTTTTCATTTTTTGTACAATAAGTAATTGAAACGATTTGGCTTGGAAATATATTCGACTTGAGAATCCTAAATACAACTAATACTACGTGTATTATACATTTATTTATTTATATAATGTTCGCCATTTGACCGCCTGCCGCTCGCCAGGCTTCTCACCATAAAAAAGAACCTCTCGCCCGCCACTCGCCATTCACAACTATGGTCCTTTAGGCTCATTTTTTCTGTGTCGGCCCAGGCCATTAAATTCTTAGGACCGGCCCTGGACTTAGATTCATGTTTTGATTCAAGTAATTAGGATTTTTCCATTAGCTTTAGGTTTTTGGGTTTTTTTATTGGCAAAAAAAGTGAGCTTTTTTTTTTTGAATTTGTGAGGAATTGCTACATCATCATTCAACTTATATCTGGGTTCTCACTTCTGCTCTATTGGCCATAGATTTGTAATTTGTTGCTTTAGGACTCCAAATGAAGTCACTTTATTGTAAGGGATATTTAAAGGGTTCATTTTTCTAATTAATACTCCCCCCGTCCCAAAATGATTGCCACATTTCGCAATGCAAAGCAAAATATCAAGTTTTTTCAATTCATTTTATTTAAATATTGGTTTAAAAATAAAAAAATAAAATTTACATATTTAAAAACTTCCTCAAAAATTCGTCAAATCTGGGTTCTCACTTTTTTTCTATTGGCCATAGATTTTGTTGCTTCAGAACTTGAAGTGAAGTCACTTTATCGTAAGGGACAATTGAAGGGTTCATTTTTCTAATTAATACTAACATATCTCAGAACCCTCAAGAATGCCTTCTGCTGTATCGTCTACAATTGGGTTTTGTTGGAGTGAGTGTTTTATATCCAATCTTTAGTTAGTTGATGAATCTGTGTTATATCTTAGTACAATCCATTGATGTTAATTCGTTGGTGGACTAAAGTTTGTCCTTTTGCATTATCTAGTTGTTTGATGTCTTCATGAATTATATATTTGCAGGATTACTGATGGAATCTTATCAGACCTTTGTTGGACGTGTCGCGAAGTACATATAATACTTCATTTAGGAGTTTTGATTTTTGCTTCGAGTCTGTATCTGCTTGGCTAGAGATTAGAGAATGGATAGGGGCACAGAGCGAGATCTGCTAATTGCAGAAAATATTGTCCAACCATTACTTATTATGGCTTCAAATTGCTCTAGTATAGAAACGGCTCTTGAGAAGCTTATTGAAATTGCCAAAACGGTAGAAGGTCGTTCGGACCTTGCTTCCCTAAATATCATTTCCCAATTACTACGACTTTGCTTATCCGCCTTGTATCCTGTGGGTCATCAAGTCCTTTCACTCTCCTTAAAGTTACTTAGAAACTTGTGCGCAGGAGAAATAAGAAACCAAAATGCTTTCCTTGAAAAGAACGGAGCAGAAGTTGTCTCAACTATTATCAATTCCGTTGGGCCCACTTATGATAATAATGTCGGTATTGTTTGGTTGGCTCTGCAACTTCTGGCTAATTTTGTATTGGCTGGTGGAGAACATCAACGTGCTGTTTGGTGCCAATTCTTTCCCCATGGGTTCTTGAATATCGCCAGAGTAAGAAGCAGGGAGACTTGTGATCCCTTGTGTATGGTTATTTATACTTGTTGTGCAGGTGATGATGCCCTTTTGACAGCCTTATGTGATGAGCAGCAAGGGTTGCATGTGGTCATTGAAATAGTGAGGACAGCATCCATGGGTAAGCATCGTTTGATTTACTTGCATTTTTGCTTTCAATATATATAGTATAAGAGTAAATTCCATAAATGGCCCCTTATAACATGTGGATTTCTCCATATTTAGCACTTAATGCTAGGATATTACATTTGTGGTCTTTCATTTTTTAAAAACTATTCCATAATTAGTTACTTAGACCAAATTTGACCAAATATTTTCTTCCACATATAGTCCCCAATGGACTGATTATGGAATAGTATTCAAAAATTGAGGAACACGAATGTAATATCATAGAATTGGAGACGAAATATGGAAAACCACTTGCTAGGAAGGACCATTTTTGGAATTTACTCATAATATAACAAAAGGAATTTGAAACCTAGTTGTGGCCTAAATTATGTAGATATATTTATTTTTTCTTGGCAGCTGATTTGGCAGAAAGTTGGTTCAAACTGCTTCTATCAAGAATTTGCCTGGAAGAGTCTTACATTGCATCAGTTTTCTTCAATTTAGATCCGGGCTATGCTGCTGATATGATTCCTGGATCTGAGCATTTTGTGTCTGAGCAAGCATATATTTTGAGCACCCTTTCCGAGATTTTGAATGAGAGAATAGAGGATTTAGCCGTAACGCCTGATTTCGCTTTGCACATTCTTGGGATACTGAAAAGTGCTGCTGCTAGGGTTGACTTTTCCACTAGAGGAAAAACCAGTCTTCCAACCGGGACCACTCTCATCAACATTCTGGGCTATTCTTTGACCATCTTGAGAGACATTTGTGCATGTGATCGTCGCACTGGCCTCAAAGATGATGATGCCGTGGCTGTGCTAGTTTCATCTGGACTAATTGAATTGCTGCTTTCTTTCCTATCTGGCCTTGAACCTCCAGCAACCATCCAAAAAGCAACTAAACGGCAGGTGGGGGGCACAACTGGTCAGATTGATTGTTGTCCTTACAAAGGGTATAGGAGAGACATTGTTGCAGTCCTTGGAAACTGTGCATATGGGAGAAAACAAGTGCAAGACGAAATCAGAAAGAAAAATGGCATTGTTTTGTTGTTACAGCAGTGTGTCACTGACGAAGACAATCCCTTCTTGAGGGAATGGGGCATTTGGGCTGCAAGGAATCTACTTGAAGGAAACAAAGAAAACCAAGAAGTCGTTGCGGGTTTGGAGCTCCAGAGAAGCTTAGATGTGCCTGAACTCGCTAGGCTTGGTCTTCGAGTCGAAGTAGACCCTATCACTCATCGTGCGAAGCTTGTTAACGGATGATTAGACTATAATCAAGGTACATTGATTAGTATTTTTATCAATCGAAATACTTAGTAATTGTTATTTTGTGGTTTTAAATATATTGTTATTAGGTGTTTTGTATTATGCTATTATTATTGCTTTAAGTAAAAGCCTTCATTTTGAGAAGAGCATATCCATTTTTTTTACTAGTATTGCTTTATGAAAATCATGGAGATTTTTGGGATTTGAATGTTATAACAAAATGAAGAACAAAAAACCAAGTATTCAAATACCAATCTGTCTCTTTAAAATGGTGTTGGTATTTGAATGTTATAACGAGCATTCGAATGCTTTTGGAATATTGAGGTTTAATATCACATCGTAAGTTTAATAATCTAAGTAATGTAGTTTAATTGATCCCTAAAGTTTATATAGTTGTTCGTTTTCTCGATTTCATGTGTTAGAGCATCTCCAAGGGAAGAGCCAAAACCTACTTTAAAACTTTTGGAAGGATGAAATGTTAAGAATGGAGGGCCTTCTCTTTTTAGCTCCCCCACCATGTATATTTGAAACTTACTGTACATGAGCTATTTCTTTGCTCTACTCTGGCTTCCTAACCTCTGTTTTTGTCATAGTTTTCAGAACCGGTCCGGTGACCAAACCAGTCAAGGTACTGGTTCACTGGTCGAACCGGTGGTTTAAACATTTTTAAAAATTATGTAAATAAATAAATAAATAAATAATTATATGTATGTGTGCATATATATATATATATATATATATATATATATATATATAAACACATACATATAGACACACACTTTCTCATTTATAAATATTTAAAAAAAGTAATTTATAACATTTGACTAAAATTATATTAAAATATTTGAGTTATTTTACTAAGTTAAGAAATAAAATTTAAATATTAGAAAAAGAATATTTAAAATTTTAAAAATGAAGACTTGATTTTATTTTTTCAAATAAGTTGTTGAATATTAAAAATGCTAAATGAAATCTTTGCATGATATTCATTTTGTAATAATATCAATAGTATCATGATTTTGTGTTTGATTCATAGCTATATAATATTACATTTTTAAAATTAAAAAAGAATTTTTATACAATCTTTTTTTATTATGAAATAGGAAAAATTTATATAAATACTTCTAGAAATTCGGAATTTTACAATAATACTCCCAAAATCAAATAAAAACTCATATGCTCCCAATTAAATTTTATGTTTACATGGTTACTCCCATTTGCCTATTCAATCTTTCTTACTTTTAGGTGTCATTAAATGAGCTTAGTTGGCAAATTTGATTTGTATTTTCTATTTTAAGGAGTAATAACCATTCGCGAGTTCAAAAAAAATACGGAGTACAGTATAATCAAAATTTATCCATCTCCATTCTTCATACCCAAGGTTCAACGGTAAATCTTTACGAGTGACTTTTCTCCATTCTTCATATCACATATAGTCTCTCTCATAAGGAAAGATGTCAATTGTTTATGATGTTTTATTGAGAAACCATCGAGAGCAAGGATTTGCTTCAAATCTGTGGAGTTCTTCGGGTCTTCATCTTCATCAAACAAAGAAAGTCATCCGGGTCCGAATTGCAAGCATCATATTTGTTCTAATATGTATGTCCCTCTAAATCCCCCTATTGTGGGAAGAGAGGTAAACAATTGATTAAGCACGATCAATTAATTATATGTAACAGTAATTAGAAAAATTGATTAAGCAAAATGGGAGTAATGATGTGAACTTAAAACTTAATTGGGAGCATCAATGTCTTTATTTGATTTTGGGAGTATTATTGTAAAATTCCAAATTTCTGAGAGTATTTGTATAAATTTTTCCTATGAAATATTTTAAAAGATTAAGTAAACTTGTAACAAAAAGGATCATTGCTTGGATGGTTAGAAACTCAACCAAATGTCTAAAAGATCTTAGGTTCAAACCCCCATGGTTGCATGTTTTGAAAAAAATCACAAAAAAAAAAATGTTTCGGCCGGTCGAACCGGCCGGTTCACACCGGTTTCCACCGATTCGCACCGGTTCGATGCGTGTGACGGTCCAAAGGGCCGGACCGGACCGGTTTTTAAAACTATGGTTTTTGTTGGCTTTTTGTAGTCATTATGAAAATGCAAGAACAAAAAAAAGGGAGAACAAGTTGTAGGATGAAACAACATTCATTCAAGAATCATGGTTGCAATGGGTGTAAAAAAGTGGGTGTAATTATAAAATAGTATTCCATCCGTCCCAAAATGATTTACATTTTACTCTTTGAATCTCTCGGGTAACTTTTGTTTCCTCATGTATATTCATTGTTCATTTGATAAAATAAAATATTTTTGTCGCATCTTGTTTTGTAAAATTTTTGATGCAATTTTTATACGTTTTATTTTTAAATAAATTTATAGATAAAATTATTTTTAAAAATATGGGATTGTGAGTGTGAGGGAGTATTTTATTGTGAAAAGCTATAATAATTAATAAAAATTATACGTTAAAAAATAGGTCAAAAATTTTACAAAAGAAATGTTACAAGAATATTTAATATATTACTCCCTCCGTCCACAAATAAACTTTACGTTCACTATTCATAGGGTCAAATTTTATTCACTTTGTTGGCCTATTTTCGTCACCTATTTGATAAAATAATATAGTAATGTCACCTCTAGTTTTGTAGATCTTTTGATATAGTTTTTTAATATGTAATTTTTATTTTTCAATTCTACACCATTTTTCATATAAAATGATTTGAAAATAACTTCAGTCAAACATCGTAACGCGCAATGTAAAGTTTATTTGTGGACGGAGGGAGTAAATAACTAATGAAAATATACTTCATCGTTTCAGTGTATTCATCTAGTTTGACTTTTCTAAATTAAACTAAATCAATTTTAATAATTAATCACTCTTAATTTGTTTTTCCTATTAATACAATAAATTATGATTTTAATAGTTTTCATTGAGATACATTTTTTGAAATAATTTTTATAATGAAATACATTACCATTTTTATTTTTTTAAAAACATTATTAATTTTATTTGATTGAGGTCCAAAGTTTATCTACTTTGATTCACAAAAAAGTCAAAATAGATAAATATATAAGACAAAGATAGTATATTTTCATCTTATTAACACAACATGTAATTTTTGTCTAATTATAGGTCAATATATATTTTGGTTTGAGAAAGACAACGTGTCCAGTGTCCACTACAACTAACCGATAGCCATAAAGGGCTTAAAATCCACTATAACAGGTTGGGGTGGGTTTGGTTTTTTCGTTTCGATTTTTCCCTAAAACCAAAGACGAAACGAAACTTAATTTGACGGTTCGGTTTGATTTTCTCAAAAAATAAGTGAATGATCGGTTTGATTTTTTGCGATTCGTTCCTAGTTTTTTTTCCGGTTATTCGGCTTCTAAAAGAATATTTTTTCAAACATATATCACACTTATCAGATTAAAAAAATGAAAAAAAAACTACAAATACTTGCAAGTATTTATCCAAACACTAGAATTGCAAACTCAAATTAGGGAAGTTCATAGAGTATATACTTGTGTTGGCCATGTGTGCATCAATTGTCCCATGGCGGAGGCTATGTGGGCCATGTCACAATCGAATGTCGTGAACGCTTGTGTGTTGAATGCATTCTAAGGCTAGAGTATGTGCCTCTTCTAACTCCAATTGGTTTTAGAAGAGTTGGTAGCGCTTGAGGTCCTACAACTTGCTCACATTTAAAACAATCAACTTAATCTCATACTTGTTCATAATAAAAAATAAAAGTTCAATAAGTCAAGTCAACATGTAATTAAAGTTTTAAAAATTACTCCGTATTCCAAACTTCAACTTTCATTTTCAAAATTGTATATATAAAAAAGCGAAGCAACGAGAGTTTTATACGGAACACCTTTTCATTTTATTTTGGAAAAATTATCTCAAATAATCCCATCTTTTAGTGCTCTTTCAAAAATAATCCTACTTTTCACTCTCACCAGAAATAATACCACCTTCCCGCATATGTGCGAGTTTTGGGTCGCCGTTAAAAAACTAACGGTCACTTAACGGAAATTTTGAAAAATGCCCGTTTTCGCAAATAAATGAAAGGTGAGATTATTTTAGGTAAATTCTCCCTTTTTCGTTTTTTAATTTCTTTAAATGTATTTTTATTTTATTTTTTTGGAAAAATACCAAATATAAATGTTTTTAGAGTGAAACTAATTGTTTTTTTCAATAACCAATAATATGGTAATAATTAGAAAAAAAATTATTCTACACAATAGAGCTAATTTATTAACTTCTTAACTAACTACGAGTACATTTTTTTGTAAGTTGCATTTACTGTATTTTTCTTGAGCTGCACTTCAAATTATTTTTTGATACTACATTATTATTATATCTTAAAAAATGGCACTACAAAACTTATGAATATTTTTCGATAGTTCTATATAAATATTTTTTGTGAAACAACATTACAATAGTTGTGAAAATAATACAACAATTTTTTTCTCTAAAATAGAACTTTTATTTTTATAACTCACTACATTTTCTGATGTATTGCAATTTTTCCATGAACACTCTGAAATATTTATTGATAATCTTATATTGCAATAAAATTTTCTTTCTAAAATGGAACTACCCAATTTGTGATTTTTTAAATAATTCAATACAAATTTTTCCACAAAATAGTAATTCAAAAGTTGTGAAAATGACACAATATTTTTTCTTCGAAATGGAACCTATAAAGTTTATAAATCACTACAATTTTTTATTGTAATTTCTTTCTTGATCGATACTCTGAATTATTTTTGATAATTCAATACTATATTTTCCCAAAACAATTAACAAAATTTGTTAATCGTTAGTGTTGGAATTGTGCCATGATGGCCAACTGTTTATCGTTATTCTATCATGTATATGCAGATATAATATGTTTACACATCTCATGCTAATGTAAACAAATATTATATTCCTAGATTTATATTTAAAAGATGTTTATCAGATAGTGTTTTTCTGCTGATGAGACTAACATCTTGAAATAAATATTTATCTAAATGTCCATAATCGAGTATTAACGAGAGTGGGATATCGTTAATGCATGTGAGACTAGTGTGTGTTGGATGTTTGACTTAGTCTCATAGTCAATGACGGTGTGTTCGCATCCGCACATGGG